TTCTCAGGGATGAAATGACACTTGTATTCCAAAGTACAGGAAAGAAAACAACCTCAAACCCCTTTCTTACATCACTGTTGATGATGGCCTGCTTTCTGGCTCCCTTTCCCCCAGTCATGTAAATTGGTGAGCTGGAAAAAGATGTTGAATATGCAGAAGAGAGATTCCAACAAATTCTTTGCTGGACATTGTAACTGTGCTGATTAATATCATACCAGATTGTTTTACATCAAAAAAGCATTAATGCTGGGGAGGTTTTCATCATGCACCAGACAAAACTGAAGTTCTCATGCCCATTCCTTTACTCACAGATTTGACATGTAATTTTTTGACACTATGAGTTAACTGATTGAATTAGTGCCAGCAGCTGCAAAGTAACTTATCTTACAAAAAGGCAAATCATAAGCCTGAGCTGGATTCAAAGACCATTTACCAAATGTATTTGGAAGTGGAAGAAACAGAGAACTTTAACTTGAGAAATCTTCAAGATGCAGAGACTTGGCAGAATCCATAAGAAAGCAAGAATTAAGAATAACCACCTAGTAGTTATAAGACCTGTTTCCCTCTGAATTGTTTTTTGTTCTGGTTCAATGACAGCTGGCTCTAAGGGAACTGGCTGCTAAAGGAAGGAGTAGTACAGACACTGCCAGTCCTCTGAAAGCCGGCCCTCTGATCTGGCCCTGACCTGGGTGGGTGATCAGTTGGTGCACTGTATGGCTTCATTGCCAGAGGGATAGGAACCTTGGGATGGAATAGAGCAAGAAGAGAATTTAGCCAGTTGGGAAACCAGACACATCTTTTACTTTGCCCTCTTTTAGTTTCCCAGCTCTCCCCAGTCCTTTGACCCAGAATCACCCAGGGATGCCACACAGGCAGATCCAAAATGCTCATCTTTTGTGAGAGAAGTACTGACTGTCTTTCCAGTTCTGGAAGTGCTCCTGTTAAAGAGAACAGCAGGGAAAGCTTTTAATGCATTTTGAAAGTAAAATCTTTTGAGAGAAGCTGGAGAACCTAAATATATCCAATGAAAAGAAAAAGAAGTATTCTGGTTTTATATCCACTATTTCTGGCCTCAGAACTACAAAGGAGTTGGTCAGACACTTATCCTCTCCCTCTCTCCAAAATCTAAAGAAATAGACATTGCAGTAGGCAGGGTTTGGAAATCTGTGTCTCCTTTACTTTGCAATGGAGATAATTCACATTAAAAGAAGAAGCTCACACATCTCCCAAAGAATGCTGTTTTCTAAATTACCTTGTCATGAGAATGTAATTAAATTATATATGTGCCAAATGAACACTTAAAATGTATCTGAAATTTTGAGAGCCACAGTCAAATCTTCCCATGCCCTCAAGCCAAACACATATTTTATGCAATTTTTTATCATATTTGCCTTTCCAAAGATCAAGAAAAAGCAAGATGAGCTTTATGATAAGATGTCTGGACCTTAGAAATTCAGAATTAATACTTTTTTGTAAATATATGTTTATCAAAAGAGGAAGGAATGATTCCCAACATTGTTCCAAATGGATGGCATGATCATGATGTGTATGAAGAGGTGAATGAAAGACTTTTAGTGATATCTTCTTCCAGACACTGGGGACAGCCTTACTAATCACATCCCAATAATCTCCCACATGCTTTTGATTAAATCCTCAGAACACATGGAATATTCTTTCCTGACAAATGCAGATCCAAAGCAGGACTTACTGTAAGGCACATAGAGCGGCCACAGTATTTGTAGCAGCATGGCTCAGTACAATATGTGTCCCAGTGACAGGAGAACAATTTTCCTTCAGTCTTCCATCTTGGCCCATCTGTTCTTTGAAGGTTAAGACAGATCTTTGTGATCAACCAATCTGCCTTCCCAGGAAGGCAGGCTGTATGTATTCTCCATTCTTTCTTCCTGAGCTGGTGCATTTCAGCCTGCCTGAATGGCAGTGGTTAAGATTTGTCACAAAGTTCAGTTGAACATGCCAATGATTAATTACCATTTTGGATGAAAATGTGCAAATTTAATGTTTGATTTTCCTCCTTCACTTTCAATTATGGGAGCTCTTTGTGCGTCTGTCCACTAGATGCAAAAGTCATGTCCTGTTTGATTTCTTTCTACTGGTAGTTTTGTTCTTTCAGGTCTTTTGGAACGTAACTAAAAGCACTGGGAATTGTCCTTGTCCCAGAGGAAGCTAAGTTCCTCCTTACACTTACAGTTTTAGACCTATCAACTAGGTCTTTATCCATTTAGTGGCTAACATGACAGGTTAAATCTAGCTTTGATGGAGAACACCATCCACCACTGTGTCAAAAAAACACACCAGACATTTACAGTATGGATGCCTGCCAACTTCCATCTCTCAAGCTCCCTCCAATTTTTTAATGTGCTAAATCCACATTAACCCAAATCAAATTACAATAAACCTCTTGAGGGTCTAGCACAAAGTTCTACTAAGATTACGTTGTTTTAAGACTTACTTCTTCAGGTGGTAGTTTTATGGTGGAGGGAGTGGAAAGGAGAATGAAGGAGCAGCATTGCTTGAAGCAGAGCATTCTCTCCCACAAAATGTGATAGGAAAGGGCTTGGCAAGAGGAAAGGGGGTATATTTAGAGGAATACTGAAGAATATTGGCAGCAGAATCCTTGTCTAGAACATGTTCATCCTCATAGTAAGCATGTCAACGGCACTTGAGAAAATGAGCTGCCAGAACACAACCAGAAAAAGCTGTTAGCAAAGCAATCTAAAATCAGACCTTGCTTTTACCTGGTTCTTCCAGCTTCTTTCCTTTTCTGACAGCTCTGCTGCATGGGAGAAAGCTGTTCAGCATTCTTTCTTAAACTGTCCCTAAACTCAAAAACTCTCCTATGAAAACAGTACAAAAGAGAGAACAACTGCTCATTGAGCTGTGGTGGTTTGTCATAAGTGTAACAAACATGCTGCACCCCTTGCATGACTTCATGGGGAAAACCAACGCCCAAAGGCATGGAGAATTTGTGACAGTGCCCTGACAAATATTGCAGAATTTGGTCTTTTGAGACTGGAGAGAGGTAGAAATACTTGCTTTAAAAAAAGGGCATTCTGAGACATGAGCCTGAGATACAGGCCAAGTAAGATTTGCACACAAGGGCTTCAAGAGGCCACAGAGATGTAGGCAGATAAAATAAGTCATCAGAGTGTAGAGTTACCTGGTCTTAGCACTGCCTGGCAGAGCAACATGAAGACTTGAGTCACTGAAATACTGAAGTACTGGCAGGCAGGAGGGAATCTCCACGTCTCAGCCTAAAACTCATTTAACTTCAGCTCCACAGGTTTGGGGCAACTTCCAAACATTAGTGTTTATCTCACCAAAGATAAAGCAGGTTCATGAGGGAAGTGTGCAGCAGTCTTTATCCTGGAAGGAGAATGCCTCAGAGAAATGTCTGCATTTTGCATGTCAACTGCTGTTTGGATGATCTTGGGAGATTACAGAAAATGGGGCTTTTGAATTATTTTACTACCAGAGAGGGATGCATAAGGAGTGTCTTGGGAATAGAATCATTAAGCAACAAATGAGGGTGAAAGCCTGAGGGTTAATAGCAACATGCATTTCTTCCTTGTTGGAGATGTCTTTGATGTATACACAATTATTATCAAGTGACCAATAACTGATGGGAATGTAATAGTTTATTTTGTCTGCCACATGTGCAAGGAAGAATTCCTACTGTCTGGTACTTTAGTCTTCTCAGTGCAATATTATCACACTTTATCTGTTTTTGTGCCTTTGAAGCTAAAAGACAAACCTGATGTTGATGTTTCTAATAATAATTAAAAAAAAAGATCCTTTTTGCCTCCTTCTTGGCTACTAAGGTGTATTTTTAGTTCTATAAGACTTTTCAAATCTGTTCACATCTAGGAAACTTATTTTTTGTTCTTCATTAAGTCTGATGTCAAGTGGTGTAACTGGGAGAAGTCATCAGCTTGGGTTGCAGAATTATCTGAAAGCAAACAACAAAATACTTTTCCTCAGTAGTTGGACAACAATGAAATCCAAACCAGTCTGCAGATAAACAGGGCTGCTTGATCAGCTCATTTGACTATCAGTTATAGGATTACTGAGGTTGGAAGTTTGCTACCCAGTCAGCATTGCCTCATTTACTCATTTGCTTAAGCAAGTGATGTGGCAGAAAGTTGGAGGCAAAGATTTTGTCTATCCTCTTTGATTGTTGCCTAATTATTTACATAACCTGTTGGGCCAAATTAGAGAGCACTGTGGCCGGGTTCATATTTAATCTTGCTTTGCTATTGTTTCTTTAGGAAGTAGTGTCAAATTTTTGCATTTCCTAAGATTATGAGTTCTGTTTGCAACCAGAAAAGCTACTATATATGTAAATATAGCTTGAAATGCCATAACTTCAAGTTCAAGTGAAGCATATTCTTTAAAAAATAAACATTATTAATGCAGTTTTCTAGATCATTAGAGTCAATAAGTTCAATAAGTCAATAAGTTCAATAAGTCAATAAGGTCAATAAGTCATATATATATGTGTAACATCCAAATATGCTATAATGTAGTGTACTTGCAGCTTTAATAGAATGTTTTCAGAAATGCATGATGCAAGAGGTTATCATCTCTCTTCTGTTTCTGTCATAGCTGCTGGAAGTGCTGAGGTGGACATCCTAGTGTGGAACGATGGATGAAACCTGCTGTTGAGATCGTGTCACAATATGGTTTTGAGTAAACTCTCTGAGCAGCCCATCCTAAGATAAGGGGACAGGGAAGTTTCTTGCATTGCTCCCTTGCATTGTGGAGCAGATGAAGTGACTTGCCATGCTGTGATTCTTTTGAGAACAAGCAGTCTCTAGGTAACCACTTCTTTAATTTTGCAGTTGAAAGGCAAACACTATTCCTGAACAATTTTTTTTGTCTGATTACTTTGATAAATTTTTATTTTACAAATTCTTAATTTGCAACTGGGTAAACTATTTTTCTTACTTTCCTCTCAGTTTTATTCAGGAAACAGCCATAATAGCTGATAAAGCTCTATGACGACTGCAGTTCAGTCATCAGAAGAAAAGAGCCCTGAGCACTCAAGGTGAATATTTGGCTAAGACTGGCCAGAAATTGGGATCCTACTTGACTATCCAGATTCAAGCAAATTGCTCATGTTTGGGCAGTCTCTTCTGTAGCTCTGAGAAGCCACAATTGACAATTTATTCTCACCTGTTAAGTCAGGTCCCAAACACTATTAGCAAGCCCTAATAATTGCTGTGAAAATTATAAATATGCTGGCATTAGAAACTGGCAGCTCTGTTTAGCTCTATCACAGGCAGATTGCATTTCCAATGTATTATTAGGAAGATGGGAAATTGGAGCTAATGGATGGATTTCTGCAGTTTTTCTCTTTTCTGACACCCAGTGACCACGGGATGGCACTGAGGTTACTGTCCTGCTCACAAACACATTCTAAGTCTCACACTTCCATTTTAGGTGTTCCGAAAAATTGTCTGGGACACTGAATTTGGGTTATGTGTTTGCACATGCATAAGGCTGGTTGCCTCAGCTCTTGTGGATTCTTTACTGCCCTGGCTTTGGGACTGCTTTCAGCTAACAGAAAATGCTCACTGTAAATCTCCCCAAAGGTGAGCATGAAAACTCAAACTTGTGAGTGCGTACTGTCCTGACACACTGGTGGGTGAAGAAGATAAGAAGCCTTGATTGTAACATCAGTCCCTAAGCTAAGTCACTTGTACTGGCTACAGAGTAATGTCAAATCTGCCAAAGCGTACAATTGTCTTCAGATACTGGCAGCATCAAAATTCACACTTATTATCCAGACATCTTAATGCCCATGGCTTCTGAAGATTTCCAATGCTGAAAGCACACAAACTATAGCACAATATTTTCAGAAACCAAAACACCCACCATCTTAAGGTATTTGTAGATATCTGACCTTAAACCTCCTTATCTGTCTCTGAAGATGTTCTCTGGTGAGACATTCAGATTTGTTTCTAGTGAAAATAAAACTATGTACTTTTCATTATCCTGTCATAAGGCTTGATCCACAAATACAGAATTAGTAGCTTTTATGTGTGCTTCATCCACTCAACGTGGTATGCACACTGTGCTGGTGCACCTGGAACTGGGCATGGATGTGAATCCATCCATCTAGCTGCAACAAAAATTTTTTACTGGTTCCATCTCAAACAATGTAGTGCTGACCCTGCAGGGTTTTAGGTGCATTTGTCCTCCTGGCTCCCCTTTAGCTGCTAGTTGTTGATGCCTTGAACAAGTTAACCCCCCTTCTCTTAAGCTCTAGGTTGTGTAATCTAAACAGCTTTTCAGGGAGATGGCTCTTCAGACTGTTAATGCCAGTTTGATTTGCTTTTGCAGGGTGAGCCAGAGCTGGCCAGTAGTCCAAGTCCTCATGGTGAAAGGACACAAGCAAGGAGTGGGCTGGAGGGAAGCACAAGGGAGAAGGGTGAGCAAAACCCCTCTTTCATGCTTGTCATACTGGCAGGGTAGTGGTGTGGGTGCAATGGCATGGCACCTGGACGTGATGCCAGGGTGCCTCTGACAGCAGCTAGCCAATGGAGCAGTCTGCAGGTGATGGAGCATTGGTAGTTTAGATCTGCAGCTCTGCTGGGTGAAAGATGAAGTTTGGGTATTCAGAGTCTGAAAGGGCCAGGAGCTGGGATATAACTGTGATTAAGGTAACTAAATGCCGAGTGCTTGATCCTTTTAAACTATTTTCAGAATTCTGGATTGTTCTTGCCTGCCATGTTCCCTCAGACTTTCAGCAGACTAAAGACAAGTCATGATCACTTTGTTAAAGCCCAGTTTGCAATACACTGGCTTTCAGAAACGAATTTCAGACTATATATACAAAACTAATATTAGAAACAATCTGAACACATAGGGCATCATTTTCTGGTGTCTGTTTAGATGTGTGTTTATACACAGCAGATACACATCTAGGCACAAAAGTACATGAAAATTCTCAATGTCTCTTTTGCTGCCAGTTAGTTGCATCCAAAACCAGACATTAAGGAATTAAAGAAATCTTAATCTGTGAACACTTAGTTCATGACTTCAGAGATGCTACATGCTTGTTCTTATTATAACTGGGCATTACTTTAATACAGACTGAAAATTTGAGAGAGGAAGTATTTTGGTTTGTTTTTACTTTTTTTTTTTTAAAGATACTTGGTACTTGTATGTGAAAACAAAAGTATTTGAAAACAAAATGCTGAGACATTTAGCAGGCACATATGGCCATCATCAAGCATTGATTTGGTTTAGAGAAATAGATGACAGTGGAATATTGAGTTTTTTAATGTCTGTTCTTCTGAGAATACCATAACCTAATTTTAAATAGATATAAACTCTGCTTGTTGTTTTTGATTTTGCAAGGACCTTAGCATTCTGCAATCAGTCTGACTCAAGTGTTGCTGGGTATCCAATGCCTTTGAGAGCACTGTGTTCTGTGTGACATTCAAAGTACCTGAACACAGCCTGTCCCAGTAGCTACTGAAGCTGTGTTTGATGTGATATATAGCTATGCAGCACACAGCCACAGCAATGTGGATGCCCAGAGCCATCTTAACATCATTCTTATTCAAGCTAGTATGTCTTTTCACTTGATTTCCTCTTCAATTTTTGACTGCATCCTTTCAGTGGACACTTGCAAGATAAACAATTATATTTTGTCCAAAGGGTTTATATTTACATACTTTTGATTCCTGAGAAACTGTGGTGGCTCTTTGGCAAGCAAAGGAAAATAAAGATTGTATACTCAACAATTTTTGGGCAAGAGGGGAAACAGTTCAGTTTTACTCAGCTGTTGGCTGTTGACTCACATGGGTGTCTCTCTCTTTTTACAACGCCAACTACATACAAAAAAAGGAGGCTTTTTGTAAATTAGACGTTGCTTAGCTATGGTGTGGTCCTCTTCAATTCTTGATTTGAAAGATCTGTTCCACTGTCAGAAATCTGCTGTCCCTATGGAAAAGAATCTTTCCACTTTCTATCCCCCCAACTTTGAAGAATGTTAAATTGACAATTCTGGGGTATGCAAATGTACTTTAAAGCTCTTATATCTGCAGAAGTAAACTAAACATGGTCTAAATTTCTCTAAGTAATAAACATGCTGCTTCTAATCAGCATGAGTGAGGGTGTGTGCATGTGTGGATGGTGGTACATTAGCTGTTGTGACCTGTAGCAGATGCTGGTTAAGTTCTGTCTGCAAAGCATCATGTAAACTGAAGCAACTGAAGTCTGCATGGGAAAAGTTGGGACTTCAATCTTAGCAGCTGAGCTGACATGTTCTCACACCTCCTGGACTCTTCCTTGCATACATGCCTATTGTTGTATGTGCACTGAGACATCTCATGCTCTAACCTAGTATTTTCAAAAACCGACTTCTGAGGTGTAGATGGGAAAATGCTTAAAGCACTCATAAGCTTAAAGCTCCAGGATGGAGCTGAACTTTCCCAAACATTTCCATACTGTGGCAGAACCTGCACCAAGAAGCCAATTCATCCAAATAAGCTTACTGGGAATGGGCACAAAAGCCTTCCTGATGCTGCCTAAGCAGCAGCCCTCCATGCACAGCACCTGGGATACCAGAACAGAAAGGGTGCACTGCAGAGCTGCAATAAAAGGGGCGGGAGTGTATGTGGGCAGTGCCATACTGCTGTGTTTAGGGGAGGGCTGTGATGTGGTCTCCGTGCACTGCCACACAAGCATAGAAGTGTGGTACAGCAAAGAGAGCCCAAGCTCCTGAGGCATGTGCAAAAATGTTGCAGAACTTAAGTACCATGAATGCTAACCAAATTTAATCCCCATCCTGAAGAAACAAGGTGATGAACAGAAGAGGAACTGAATGCATGTTAGCTACTAATACAAAGATGTCAAGGATATTGTCATAGAAGCAAGCAGGAATCACTGTCACTAACATTACCCCTTCAGCACTGTAAAAGAAGTGTGACAGGTCAAGGCAGGTGATTCTTGCCCTCTGCACCACTCTTCTGATACTTCACCTGGGGTACTATGGGCTGCTGTGTGGGCTCCAGCAACAAAAAGGATGTGGACCTTTTAGAGTAAATCCAGAGTGGGCCACAAAGGTGACCAGTTGGATGGAACACCTTTCCCATGAGGAAAGGCTGAGACATCCGGGGTCGTTCAGCTGAGGAAGGCCTTGGGATGATGTTGTAGCAGCCTTCCAGTACCAGAAGGGAGCCTACAAGTAAGATGAATAGGGAGGTTCTACAGGAGCATGAAGTGCTAGGAAAGGAAGAATGGCTTGAAAGAGAAAGAGAGTAGGTTTATATTAGAAATTAGGAGAAATTCTTTATTGTCAGAGTGGTGAGGCACCAGAACAGATTGCCAGAGAAGCTGTGGATGCCCCATCCCTGGCAGTGTTCAAGGTCAGGGTGGATGTGGTTTTGAGCAACCTGGTGCAATGGAAGATGTCCCCTGACCACAGCAGGGGAGTTTAAGATCCATCTCCCCTTTCTACGTGTGGCTGCTGGGCTATGGTGTGGCCATGTGCTTCCCCAGGGACTCTTGGGGCTCGCACAAGCTCCACTGCAGCTTCCGCCATTTGTCATGAATCCAAAGCTTTTTGGCTGCTGCCATGTATCCCAGAACTGTTAGTGACACAGGGATTTTCTATCTCTCAAGTCCCTGCTGGGCACACCTGCCTAGGACACAGTCAGGGCAGTCCCTTGAGAGGCACTTGCTTGTCCCTGCCATGTCCTCTGTTCTGTGACAATTGTTGCATTAAGAGCATAGAAATTTGGCAGAAGGTAAATTCTGGCATTCCAGTTGGTCCTGGGAGATCAGAGCATGGGCTGGATGCATCTGGGATTCATTTCTGACTGTATACAACTAGGCATCATAAGTCTGGTCATGTTCAGTGAGATCCCAGGTGCAGACATAGTGTGGGTTACACCAGAAATCAGCCACATTAGCAGTGCCAGATTCACGAAGAGTGTGGTTCATGAAGTCAGTGCTTGAAGTTTGGTTGAGCTCAAAAAGAACTTTCACAAACAGAGATGTCTTCCTACTCTGGTCAGTGACTGAGGCCTTTTCCTGGAAAAGTGAGGGAAAGCAAGCAGCCAACCACACATGGCCTGGATCTGTCACCTCTGTGCTGTTTACAAGAACAGCCTATTAACTATTTTTGGCTTGTGAAGAGCAGATTTTGCATAGGGAAAATAGTAGCAGATTCTTTGGGGACATTAATAAGCTAACGGCTTTTGAGATCAAGGTCATATTTAGAAAACACCATCAGTATCCTTTACTGACTAGTTACTACAGATGGGTTGGGAGAATACTAAATATGTTTCTGTTAAGTGTCTCCTGAATCAGCTATATAGTGTTTTGACAGGACTTCTGTTTCTAGATATCTGTGCAATAGAAAGCAACCAATAGTAGGTAATTTTTGGTTGTTCTTCCCCCAAATAATGCTTTTCTTCTGCACTTTTGCTCATTTGATCAGGTCCAGAGATAATCACGGTCACTCTTCCTCTTACCATTGACATTACTGTCAAGAGCTGGACTGAGTTTACATAACCATTTCTGTAAACCATGATTTTCAAAGGAGGTGCTATATGGAGTACATCCAAGAGCCAACATTTTTTGTTAAAACAAAATGTATTTTCAAAGCCAAAGCTGTGGTGTAGCCCAGACTAATCTGACCCATTCAAAGGACCAAGTTCAACTTTCTTCACCAAAACATTTCTGTTTCTTCTTCTTTGTTAAGTTAACCTCAAGTAAGAGTCTAAATTGCCTCTAAAACTGTTATTTGGCTGCATGTAGCTCTACATCCACAGGAGGGGGCACTTGAATAAAATTTTGAGCAGTTTGCCAAATACCTCTCATTTCACACCTCCTTTTGTGCACAGTGGTTCTGTGTGTTGGAGAAGGGGAAGAACTAAAAGATTATGTAGGTGCATGGAAACTAAATAGTCCATCAAGTTCTGGAGGATATTGCTGAGTTCTTCTAATAGGTGGATCTTGCACTGTTTCAGTTATGCTTTGCTTTAAATCAACTAATACAACACATACACAAAAAGTTATCCATTAAAATAAATAAAACACTAAGTCATATTTTTCCATGGTCTGAAATGTTTGTTGTCTGCTTCAGTAGGCAATATGGCATTTTACAAGGAAGCCTTTGTTCCATGCTTAATATCCATGTATAGGCATCTAAAGGAGTGAAATAAAGTGCAAGTCTAGTGCAGAGAAACTGCACTACAGTTTGTTTAAACAGCTTTGTTTGAAAAGAGATTTGTTTTCCATATCTGCCTGGAGTACACCCATGCTAGCTGAGAGGAGCAATAATTTAAGGTAAGCATATTTTCACATGCATTACCAGTAGTCTGCACTTCAGCTATGGTGAGGTGTCAAAACTTTCTGAGTGACTAGGGCTTAGCTAAGCATTAGAAAAATAGATGTGTCGCTCTGCCAGACCAT